AATTCGACTGAAGTCATCGAAATTATGGATGACCAATATCATAAGGTCGAAATACCAAGTGCAGTGCTGATCGTGAGAGAACCGAGGGTACAGCTGCAGTTATGAAAGAACCTATGGCATGTGTGTAGAGAACGATACAGTTCATGACTTGTTTCTGAGAAAAAAGTAGGTCCCTTTTAATAGACGTCGTTCTGCCATCTTTGGTATCGTTCCTGATAGGGTTTCAATGCCGACGCGAAAAAAATGACCGATGATAGGTCAGATCGTGTTCGTCATTTCATCCACGAAACCATGAATGAGATAATCTCTCAGTTCCTTCACTTGCACCATACTTGATTCTATTGAAAACAACTCACTGTCGATACTTTGACAGGAAAATTATGAAAGATTTTTAATGTACGTACATTTGCACGAATGCAATTACCGTAGTACCGGAGCTTCATGCTCTGTGCATTTACAAAGTTTCCAGTGGCGAGGCGTGAATGATCGATTATCGATATTTCCCCATTTGAAGCGATGGTAAAGAATCGATTATCAATGTGTTCGTTGCGAACAACCTGTTTATCGATCCTTCGCCATAGGTTTAAATGGTAGATCAGTCGATACATTGCAAAATACGCCACGCCAATGAAAGTTTCCTCCTCGGAGAAGTGAGCTCAGAATTGAAAAACTAAACCGTTTACCCGTGCTTCAAACTCGGTTGTACGATTCGTAATTGTTTCAGGGAAAAAAGAGAAGAAGAAAAATGATGCATGTTTAATGTAAGGTGAAAAATATCGACTCAGGAAGTTGTACGACGTATAGAGAGGAGAGGGAATGAAGTCAGAGAAAAGCGCGGGTAGATTAATTATAAAGTTAGACAATAACAACTAACTTTTTCACAAAGCTTTTAAACAGGGTGAAAGGAAAAAGCAGTGCACTTAGTGCATGCACTTTTTGCCCTCAACGCACTCGTTTTCTCAAGGGAGCATCCTAAATTCCTAAAAGTAATGAAGGGTTGCAAGGGTAAAGTACATTTGACTATCAAGTCAAGATAGGGACTTATTGTAAGTTGAAATCGTCATTTTCGCGATGTTGCAATGAGAAAATAAGTGGCATCCCAGTCGCTAAAATTCCAAATTTCCAATTATTTTAAAATAGACCAATCAATGATTTCAATTTTGAGGGGGATTGATGGGTCGGAAAATGATCATTGCATGTTATGGGTTTTCAGAACAATTGCTTTTTCCTCTAATGTATAGAGATTGAACGAAAAACTAAATAGAAAGGAAAAATTGAGTGAGCATCGCTTTTTCTGGTAGAATACGGCTATGTGAAGTTCCGTGTGAGGCTGTCCCCAAACTTAATTACAGCCGAAATATACTCAATTTATGATGAATTTATGATTGGACTACATATGGCAATTTAAAAAAAACACTATTTCTGGCTCAGTTATGATACAGTTACTGTTACATTAGTTCTCCCATTCAGGTAGGTGCTTTTATGTTTTGAACAAAATTAGTGGTTACTGTGGTTACTGGAACTCAATTTTATAAAATTGAGTTCAATTATTTGCTGCACGCGAGACATTTCGAGATTAGCCTCGTAAAGGAAAGTTGTGGTGCAGACAGTTGATTTACAATAGGTAACTTCCAATTTATTACAACTATATTTCAGCCTTCCTTAATGATTTTTTTTTGTTAAAAAACGCGTTTTGTAGTTACATCATCGATGGATAATTTTTCTTTTCCAAGTACAACGTTTTATATCGACACTTTTATTTTATTTTTCTTACCAATATAAGCGGTTTAATAAAGATACAGTAAATTTATGTAAACTTGAGCTAAGAGTCATACCCTCGACAGAGGGAGGGAACAAACGAAAGAACATACTCAAAGTAAAGTTTGAGACGGGAGGAGGAGGAGGAGGCAGAGCGGCCGTAAAGCTTTCCCACATGAACCGTAAATTCGTTTGAGTTCCCTCTGAAATCGACAGGCTCATGCGTGCCGCTTCCATAGTTCTGAAACCCCGTTTAATGCCACTCGCCAATTTTTCCCCTTAAACTATTCTTACGCCGCTCGGTGCGCTCAACATTGTGACGGTAAAAACCGCCTCGGCTGCGACCCTTAGACGCGAACGGAGAGAGAGAGAACCAGAGAAAGAGAACGAGGGAAAAACTACTAATTAAACAAACCAAGAATCTACATAAGTAATTTTAAGCGATTCAGGTGGGCTTTGGATTGCCCGCCCTCCCGCGCCCCTTTCACTTTGTTTATTCTCCTTTTTGCTCGCAACTTGAGGTTGCGGACAGGAAGAAAGAAGTAGTCCGGATTCTTATTGCCCCGTCTAGATTAAGTCTGAAAGTTTACCACTTGTGAGCGCAAGCCACTCATTAAATAAATTAGTACGTAAACTCGAAACCACAACTTTCGAACCAGGAGCTAGGCGCACTTCAGCATGAAAGTAGGAATTATTCTAGGAGCAGGCTCCCGCGAAACCCGGAAGTGATCCGGCACGTGAAACTTGCGTATTGTCAAAGTTGTAGCAGTCGAGTCGGGGCGTTTTCAAACGATCGTCGAGAATCATTATGGGGGAGGGGTATCGGTAAATTTTTTTTTTCGATTTTATGATTTTTCTCGGCTGAGAACGAAAAATTTCATCGATTACGAATCGGGCTGTTGTCTTTCAAAGCTGACATAGTATGAGGAAAAATCACTGAAATTTAAAAAAAAAATGACGTTCAGTTGTTTTTAATGTAGAAAACACACTGCAACGTCGTTGACCGAAATACACATTTCTGCAGTTTTGCTATCGAATATGTGTTAGTATTGAGGATAAAATGTTCTCTTTGTTTTGCGGTTAGAAAGAAGAAAAAAAATGCAAACAGGATGACGCTGAGAGTTTTTGAGCAGGACTTCAAAAAGCTCTTATGGCTGAAACAGAGCGTACTTTTTGCACTTTTTTCTGTATATTCTTAAAAAGTTGTTTAGTAAGTCATCATTTCAGTGGCGTGGCGTGAATGGCGATGTATCGATTGTTATGCCATTTAAACCTATGGTAAAGAATCGATTATTAAGGTGTTCGCTGCGAACGCCCTGTTTATCGATCCTTTTCCATAGGTTTAAATGGCATAACAATCGATACATCGCAAAGCACGCCACACCACTGATTCCTCTCTCCGCCCTCTCTTCGCTTAGTGATGGATTTTTTCTTTTTTGCGCAGGTTTGAAAGCCTCTCCAATGACGTGGGAAGTCAGGAGATAATGACCTCCGCTGGCAAAATAACATTTTTTTTGAGACACCGATCTTGAAGCTCCTCGAAACAAGTTTTGAATTTTCAATTTTCAGCCAAGAATAGTCTTAAAGTTTCGAAGTTCCCATTTTCACTATTTTCATGTATAAGATAAAGGAGCCGCGGACAAGATATTAGACAAGCTGTAATCTGAAACATGCATTTTACAAGTTCCCTCTTCTAAAACTCGAATACAAAAACCGACTTTTATCATAATGTAGAAAACAGAAATAGACCAATGACGTCATCTATAATCCACTCGCTCGACATAATGCACAACAGCTGTACCTCAGTTCCGAGTTGAATCTCGCGATTTTTTTATTTTAAGGACAAAGTTTTAAGGAACAAAACAGGGCGTATCCAGATTTTCATTTTTTCGTAATTGAAGACTTCTGGAAGTAGCAAAATCGTAATAAAAAGCTCATCAAATTAGATCCGTCTATCACAAGGGGGCGTAGGTGAGAGAAAAATATCAAACCAGCCTCGTGGATCTTACCCACCTTTTATACTGCCGTGCTAGGGAAGAACGCCGTAAGAACATTCGAAAGTTGCCAAATTTCCCCAGATAAAACATGTATTTTTGACGAAATTTATGCATGTTCTTCCTTGAAACTTTCAGATATTTTAGATTAAATTGCGTATAAAATTGTCTGAAAATTTTGGAAAATAATATTCACAATTTTCGTAGCAATTTTGGTTTTTATTGGAGGGAACTTGGCAACGTCTGAGGGCTCATACGGCGTTCTTCCTTAGCACGGCAGTATAGTCGGGAGCGTTTTCCGTCAAGTAAAGTGCTCCCTAAGTAGACCGAGACGAGACGTGCTACGTTATTGCCGAAGAGTTGGGGGTGCTTGCAACGTCCTCAGACCGTACATGTTGATCAGCCGTCATTTAAATGAACTATGACGTAAGTCCGAAGCTCAAGCAAGTGCTGACCCCCAGCAGTGCTTGCGAGAGCCCGAACGAGGTGTTGCACCCAAGTTTTATCGCTCGTAATGGGGAGGAAATGAGACATTTCCGACATGCGAGGTTCCAAAGTTTTCCTCCATCCCACCTAGCGAGGTAAGTTAAGGAAACATTAAGAGTTAAACAAACCTCCCTTAATGTCTAATTACTATCGCCGGCAAGGGTTCTCTATCGTGCGGGAATGTGTTATTTTCTGCCCGGCGCTTCCACGTCCTCTGTTTAAGGAAAACACCTTTGTGAGCCGGATTCCTGCTTGCACTTAAATCTATGACGCCTTCTAGATATTCTTGCTATGAATACAAATCGTATTGTAAAGTAGTATAACGCAGGATCCACCCCCCCCCCCCCTACAGCGTTATGTAATTTATTAACACCCCCTGATACAACTTATTTTCTGCGAAGCACGATGATTCAGCAGATCGTTTTCGATAGTGGTTCGATCTATTGTTTGGTTCAAAACGATAGGATATAACCTCAGACAAAATTCTTATGATTAAAGTAGGAACAACTGAAAATGAGAAAATTCCTAACAATTTCATATTTTATTGCAATTTTATACTCATAAGAATAAAAAATCTATCACAAGAGGCCCGTTACCTCAGATTACTCAATTGACTTTTGAGGCTATGTTTACATGTTAAACCAATCGATATCGATACAATCTCACCTGTTTGATGTATCGAATACGATCCATAAAGAAAAAAAAAAGAGGAAACATGTAGAAAAAGAAATGGGAAAAATCGATTTTAGAGGAGTGACTCACCTAAAATTTGAGAACCACTTGACAAGCTGGGCAGTGTTGTTTTTGTTGAACTTGATGTCAGGGAAGTACATTTTGAGAACGGCTGAGCTTGGGTACCTCACCCAGAAGAACATCAGTTTGGCTTTTCTCAGGTGCATCGGCGTCAATGTTGCAGAGTAATCTTCAGTCAAGGAGAAATTTTCAAATAATTACGGGAATACAAGTTTAAAAAGCTCACATTTGAGTTAATAAAAAAGTCATAAAAAGTTTTAAAACACATCCTAGCTTTTTAAGTTCAACTGATCACCCAGATACCTCAACCTTTTCTTTTCATGCACATCCCACTGAGCTTTTCTGATTATCAAAATGGCAATGATACGTGATTATCTAACAATGAGCACATTTGAGTTCAAAAAACAAATCATAAAAAGTTTTAAAAACACCCTAGCTTTTTAAGTTCAACTGATCACTCAGATACCCCAACCTTTTCTTTTAATGAACATTCCACTGAGGTTTTCTGATCATCAAAATGGCAATGATACGTGATCATCTAACAATGAGCTAAATAAATAGGAAATAAAAATTTGAAAAGCTCATATTTGGACTTCAAAAACATATCATTAAAAGTTTTGAAAAACATCCTAGCTTTTTAAGTTCAACTGATCACCCAGATACCCCGGCCTTTTCTTTTAATGAACATTCCACTGAGCTTTTCTGATTATCAAAATGGCAATGATACGCGATAATCTAACAATGAGCTAATATTGTTAATGGGGCCTGCCCATCTTGCGATCATGAGGATTTCCTTATTCACGCATGCATCGGGGTTGCACTCCGCGGTTGCAGTCAGGAAGAGCATCAGTGGCGTGGCGTGCTTTGCGATATATCGATGGTTATGCCATTTAAACCTATGGAAAAGGATCGATAGACAGGGTGTTCGCAGCGAACACCTTAATAATCGATTCTTTACCATAGGTTTAAATGGCTCAACAATCGATAAATCGCAATTCACGCCACGCCTCTGGTAAGGCCGGGAAGGGGCGCGGAGAGGAGGGTTGTTTCTGACCCACGCAAACGGTTTTCAATAAGGGTAGCGCGGAGAGTCGGGATGGAAGTTTGAGCAGCCCTTCCTTTTATTTCGTTAGGATGTTTGTTGAGTCTTGGAAATTCAATCGGTGGCGTAGGGCGGCGCCGGCCGCCAGTATGTTGGATTCGAATCTCAGATTCGAACTGATAAATATCCGCTTTCATCCCCTTGCGCCGTTCTGGAGGGATGCTTTGGGGCCGTAGGGACCTCTTCAGTCTTTAACCGGTCAGGCGCGNACACCACGCCACGGAAGAGCATGCAGCTATAGTAAGGGCGGGGAGGGGCGCGAAGAGGAGGGTTGTTTCTGACCCACGCAAACGGTTTTCAATAAGGGTATCGCGGAGAGTCGGGATGGAAGTTTGAGCAGCCCTTCCTTTTATTTCGTTAGGATGTTTGTTGAGTCTTGGAAATTCAATCGGTGGCGTAGGGCGGCGCCGGCCGCCAGTATGTTGGATTCGAATCTCAGATTCGAACTGATAAATATCCGCTTTCATCCCCTTGCGCCGTTCTGGAGGGATGCTTTGGGGCCGTAGGGACCTCTTCAGTCTTTAACCGGTCAGGCGCGTTACCCATCGACTTGATTTTTTTCTGACCTCTGAGCGGGTTTACTTCCGATTCGACTTTTGGAAAATAATTGAAAAGTGAATGACGAAAAATTGTATTAGGAATGACAAAAATTAAAGAAATAGAAGATGGTTCCTAAATTTTTTTTTAATCGAAAGATTTTTTGATGAAACTAAACTAGATTCGAGTAATGTGATCAGTCGAAATATTCAACGATTATTGTTTTCCAACTTGTCTAATGATTGCAATTTGGGTTTTGTCTGCCTGGTAACCGATTCTAAGCCGAAATTTAAAAAGATTAAATATTGATTATTGTAAGTGAAGCTATGTTCTATTAAAGGCATACAAGATAGAACGCTAGGACTTCAATTTTCGGTTTCAAACATTTAATTTAGCTTTTTTCAAAGAATTATGCCTCGGATTTTCGATTTTAATACGTTGAAATTGGTTTGCTCTAAATCATGAAAAGTTCCCTGAATGTTTATGCCCTGAATCATTCGATGTTTAGTTGAATCTGAAGGATACTGAACTTTTGCCTATCTTAGCCTCCATTTCAACAGCGTTTGTGCATACGTTAAATGATTAAAAATAGAGCTGACAAAAGAAGTGAAGTAAGTAAACTGATATCTAAAGAGAAAATTTTGCAATTTTAATTTTTGGTAGCAGTAATTTCAACTCATTACACCGGAATAATGACTTTTGAGTGAGAAGTTCTGGCATCGAGCAGAAGGTTCACCTTTTAATTAAACAAAGATAAAGAATAAGAGCGATTTGCCGGGATATCTAGAAGCCTTACAAATGTATCGGAATACTGTGATTCAGATACTAAGTCAACGGTGGATTGAAGACCTACACAAGGATGACGACCTTTCTATAATTCTTTTCCTGTAAGGATTCTATTTCCTTCGAAAAAAGAGGGCTGGTCGGATCGCGCCGGAAAATCGACTTACGAGGTGTCGCTTTCCTCTCATCTTTAACGGTTATTGGAGGTTAGGGGAATTTAATCCGACAAATACACGCAACAATGTCCTTCCGTTTACCCCCCCTCTTTCACCCCTTTCAAGCAGTTATGCATCGGACTGCATAGCCGGATCCGGAAATAAAGTTTATGAAGACATTTTTATTTATTCATTCTCTCCTTTGTATCCTTAAATTTAAAAAAAAGCTATATCTTGAAAGCCGACTGTTATCGCGTGGGGCAGAATGAGTTTAGCATTAAAAACCTAAATTCGTCAGGAAATATTGATTGAAATCTTAAATGATGTTACTCTTTTAAAGTTGTTCTAACCGTATTTGATGAAACTTTTCCGATTTTCGAACTTTAGTAATTAAAATACAAATAGACGAGGGAATGATAATTTGAAATAAATCAATAAAAGAGGTTTTCATTAGGGTTGAAAGGAGAGTTTTTTTTAAACTTACGAATACATTTTTGGCTCGATTACTTCAGGTTGGCATTCGGCATTTTTTTTAGTAATTCTTCTTTTTTAGTAATTAATATTATTTGGAAAGACTTGGAATCCTAAATAGTAATCCTAGAATCCTATGTAAATTAGTGTTACGTGATAGACACCTAGGAGTTACACAGTAAACTTCACCGCGTACCTACTTCTACAAAAATCAAGGCAGAATGCTAATATTACTTTTTATTTAAGCCAAATAAATGTGAATTATTTAGGTTGAAATCATTATCAGTCATTCAAATGTCTTCGGTCTTCTTAAATTCCGCAAGATGTTAAAGATAAAAGTTATATAATCATTACTAATACCTCGTTTGATAAAAAAGAAGGCTTTGAATGAGCAAAGAATTAAGCGGGTCATTCATTTTTTGGCGGGAAAAGATAATGTAAGTTTGTTCACCGCTCTAATGGTAATCAAATCGTCAAAAAAAAAAATACCTAGGGGATGAAGAGTTGTTGAGAGGACAAAAATGCTGTTTTTAACGCAAGGAGGTTAAGATATCATATTCTTCTGTTTGTTCAGCTACTTCGATTGCGACTTTTACGGCTTCTTATTTTGCCGTTTACTTAGATTATCTTGTTAGGAGACCGTCAAGTTTTCTAATCAGCTTAACTCAGCGGAATGACATCTGTGTACATAACCTATCAAAAGATCTGCTATCACTCTAACTTCGACAAGAGGAGTTATCACGGCAAAATTTCTTTCATTTTTCTCATAAAGTCAGAGAAAAATTTTCGGGTGCTTATTTTTTTTTACATCTTTAGAAAAAAGAGAAGAAAAAATAATGCGGTAGATTAATGTTAAATAGTTTCAAGAGATTTTATGAAAAATAATAGGTAGCATTACAAGACTCTTTTCTCTCATTTCACTATTGGGTAGAAATCAATTCGCACGTTGCTGCATAAAATATTCTACATTTTTTTTTATCCTTTTTCAATTTAATTTAATTCATAACTGACAAATTCTTTAAGTTCATCCAAACCAATACCTAGTAATTTTTTTTCTCTTCTTTTTTTTTGTACTGAAAAGGTATTCAGATATTACAGGCTCATTCAAATATGGTTTCTTTCGTCGTACAACTCACCCGAACAAACCCGCATTGTCCCCTACCCTTAAAATTCAGATCAATGCACCCTTAATTAATCGCCGCAACGCAGGGTTGCCATATGGTTCACTGCACCTCCTGAATTCTATGTTCTCATTTTAAAAGTTCTAGAAGTCGTGCGACGAAAGTGCATGGCAACAATGCGATTACTCTGTAACCGTTTTCTCTTGTTTTTCAGAGAAAGACGGACACCTTAAAGAAAGTTCTAGACGAATATTATTGAAATTATCATTACCAAAATTTGGCAATCATTTTTCTTATCAAAAAAAGCTCAATTTAATGTGTGAAAAGAAAAGCATTCAGAGTGCTCTTGGACGCATTTTACTAAAAATACGTCACATTTTAAATCTAAATTGTGCATTTTGATGAAAGTCAAGTCAGAGAGACCAATTTACATGTACTTATTTTTGAAAATGAAGGTTAGAAGATTGAAATTATATTGATCTAGATAGCACCGATCAATTTCAAAATACATTTTTGGACTAAAATTTTACTCATGATTCTTTACCCGCCAAAGGCAAATTTTGGCGTCAAATCTATTTGAATCAATTTCAAGTATTTTTTTTCCTGTTTTGGAAATGTGAATTGCTCTCTCTCTCATCCGATTAAATGGTCAGTTGTGCATGTCACAGAGTTATGTTTTGATTATTGAAATTGGCGCAGGAGCAAAAAGCAATGACATCTGTTTGAACGCCAAGTTTTCGAGTTCAATACCTCTGACTGAGAAGAAAGTTTTGCTACAGATACTGAAAATCGGTTCATATTTAGCATCGAAGTCTTCCGGTTATCTGAACCGAAAAATGTCCGTGTTCATCATGAAATACGTACACTTTTTTTCTCAGTGCCCACCCGAAACACGTCGGATGACGTCATCCATCACGTATTTCACAGGACCCCCAAAGAGCTGTATTGAAAGTTGACGTTCAAGCAGATGTTATTGTGTTTTACTGAATTTAAACATTTGGCCACTCAAAGACGATTCTGTGATACGTGGAACTGACGTACTTGAGTTACTGCACTGGAAAAAAAACACATTGGATCTAGAGTCCAGACTCTTGAAAACATCGACAAGAAAAAGGACTCTTGATTGAAGCAGATTTAAGCTTAAATCAAAAGGAAATCCACTCAAATTAAGAGACTTGGTTCTTGATTTAAGCTTAAATCCGATTGGATCAAGAGTATTTTTTCTTGTCAACGTTTTCAAGAGTCTGGACTCTAGATACAATGTGTTTTTTTTTTCAGTGTGAGCATGCAAATAAAGTTTTTTGTGAAAAAATCTTACGATTTAAGTTTTTGTCTGAAAAGGATATAGTAGGCGTCATTCCATCGGCAGAGGCGCAGTCTGATCCCCGGTCCATGCTGTCGGCTCCTCCGAGGGTCGAGCTGGACCGCATGTTCCCGTAGTCGGGCGATCCTCCGTGCTGGGCCGCGGCCAGGAGGGCCGGGTGGAGGAGCGAGGGCGGGTGCGAGAGCGGCGGTGAATCCCGGAGTTCCATTCCCGGAGGACTAGAGGACGGCATGTGGGAGCTTTGGTGGTAGAACGGACTGTACGGCGAGTAGACCTGAGATTCGTGCAGACTTGGGTTCGGGATGGCCACCGAAGTCGGGAGCGACACGGGTAGCATCGGGGGTGGCGGCGCGTGGTAGGGTCGCTTCTGCTGCGACGGGGCCGGGGGCGATTCCGAACCGCTCGGGACCATCGCCAAGAGGTTGTTGAACTTCCCGGGCATCTCGACGTTGCCCCCGGGTCCGTCTTGAGCCAGGATCCGACTCACCGTCCGCGGGGTGATCCGAGTGTCCGTCACCTTGTGTCGCTTCTTCTTCGGCCCGACGACTAAACTCAGAGCCTCGTTCTGCTCCGAGAGGGACTCCCGGCTCTCCGAGAGGTTGAACGGCGCCAGCGACGACATGTTGTACAGGGCACCGATGTTGTTCGGCGGCGGCTTCGGCGTTGAGAACATCGGCGCTGTCGGCGATGCTTTCACGTGGGGTAGGTTTATCGTGTTGAGATTGTTTTCCGGATTGCTAGACGAGACGTTCGAATTGACCGTGGTTGGTGTGCTGATTGAGTTGGCGTTGCTGCTGGCCATGCTTGATGGATTGTTCTGGTGTCCGGGGTTCATCGATGAGAAATTACTTCCGTTGATCTTTTGGGGGAGGCCGACGAGCGGGTTGTTGACGTTGCTCGGGCCGTTGCCGTTGGGTCGGTCGCTGACGGCGCCCGCATTGCCTCTATCGATCACTTTCGTGCGAGGGGTTTTTCGGTCCAATAGCTGCGACGCCAGGAGGAGATCCTTGTTGAGTTGCTCGGCGCTGGCCGCGGAAGCGGACTCTGGGAGCTTGCCCAGGTACCGCCTCTGCTGCATGAACCGGCTCATTATCGAATCGATCAGATGCGATAACGAAGAAGTGATTTCCGATTTCAGAACATCGGCTAGACCCTCTAAATCGTGATTGGCGGACGAGCCCATCACGCTCGACCTCAGCATGGATAACCTCTCTGAAAAATCGTTGGGTTGGTTTTCGGCTAGGGATTTTTGGGAGTTCACTGCGTTGCCGGACTGTGATAACTGCGCTTGGTTATTCGACTGATGTTTTTGTTGCTGATGTTGCTGGTGTTGTTGCGCCTGCTGTTGTTGCTGTTGGTGATGTTGATGTTGCTGAGCGTGGGGGTGGTGGTGGTGTTGGTTCATGAATTGTTGTTGCTGGTGTAAATGCTGTTGCTCGGCAGCCATGGCGGCCTCTTTGGCCATCCTGGCCTCTTGTTCCATGAACAGTTTATGACTAACTCCTAGGTACATAGCTGCGGTGTTGCTGAGAGCGGGGTGGTGAGGCAGATGGTGGTGTTGACCGAGGTTGGACGAGTTGTGTTCCTGCAAGACTTGTTGCTGGATCATGGAGAGAGCACCATTGTTAAAATTCGGGGCCACTGGGAGGTGAGGGGGAAGGTATGGGTTTTTGGGATGCTGCAATTTGGAAATCATTTTTGACATGGCTGGAGGGATGACTGGCTGCGAGACGGGGGTGGATGCACGGGGGGTCGTGGGTTCTTTGACGGGGGTCGACGAGGGGGTCACTTGAGCTTTTTCCGGTAAATTTTCTTCAACGTCACTACCGGTGTCATCATTTTGATCCCGATCCATTCGCGAGCACAAACGCACATATTTTTCTTGCATTTCAACTAAAGCCTCCTGCATTGTCCTCAACTGATTTTTCAAAGCATCTTTTTCTACAATTTTTTGCTTGAGCTCATTCGGACTCGTTTCATCGGTATCATTTTCATTATCGTTATCATCATCTTCTTCCATTTCTTCATCTTCATCCATAGATAAATTTAAATTATCATTAACATTCATGTTAGCAAAGCGCTCGACTGCACTGTTGTCATGCTGTTGTGGGTGGTACAATTTTCTTTTGTTGCAGCCTTTGACTTGAGTAATTAACGAAGGACTAGATCGCATACTGGAGACGATATTTTCAACTCGGGCCCTTTTCAATTCAATCTGCTCAGTTTTGGGGGCTGAGGGATCCCTGTTGGAATCGTCGTTATCATCCTTGGGGGAATCAGAAACCGGGGACGGAGTGCCACGCTCAGAATCCGAGGCGTGACCGTTTAAATTTTCAACTAATAATTCTGATTTGATATCATCACCTACCTCGTTCATTTCTTCATCACCTGTGGCATCCTCATCGCCACTTTGTTCCTCTAGGTTAATTTCAGACTTGACATTTTTGTACACTGCACTGTTATCACTGACACCACTACCGTTGGTTAAACCGTTTTTAAGTTCGTTATTATTGTTGTTATTGTTAGTGATCGTGTTATTGTTATCGGGGGAATTTCTATCTTGAGCACTGTTGTTTACACTGTGGAACTCCTGTTCGAGCGCGAGAATGTCCTTTTTCCTGCCTTGGAGAATATCGCGGAGCTTGTGATAAGAGGCTACGTCGCCCGGCGGCGGGGAGGAATTGACGTCGAGTCCTCGGTGGATGGCCGGGGTTTGTCCGAGGCAGTCGAAGTTGACGCCCACGTTGACGTCCGTATTTCCTGTGTCCATGGTCATCATTGTCGAGCCGTCCGCTTCCGAAGCAGTTTTCACTTGACGCGCGAACAACTCGTTGAGCATTTTGGCGGGCGCGCAGCCCTGGTTGAACAGCCCGAAATGTTGGGGGTTTTGACTAAAAAACGCACTGTACAAATTACTATTCAAAAAACTCGGACGCGAGCTGAAGTTGGGGATCGAGGAGTAGCTGTTACGCGGCTCGCCGGCGTCTACACGTTGTCTGGCCCTTTTCTTGTTCTTCAGCAACCCGAAGCTGTCGTTTTCCTCTTCTGATGACATCATCTGAGCCTCCGCCTGTGATTGGTCTGCCGCCGCGGCAGAGGGCGGCCCCTCTACGCACCCATGGGGGGACCTGCAAACGTCCACAACAATACCAACTGTCACTATTATGTGCATTATGAGGCTCCCAACTCCACGGCTCGTGCCTATGCCTTCCCGAGCTTCGAGCCGGGAGGGGAACGAAAAACTAAACACACCTGCCCCCCTCTCTCGCTCTTCATTCACCTTCACAGCTGCGTTACCGCTGGCTCCGGCTCCTCAAGCCACTACTTCCACTCGGAGCTCAGCGCAGCGCCCAACCGGGCTCATCAACCCTCGCCTCCTCTTCTCCTCTCTCTTCTCATTACTTCTCTCCTCCTCTCCGGTGAACTATCATCGAAACTATCGCTCCAGCATCACCTCGCATTATTTTCATTCACTTTCTATCTCCATCGCTCTCTTCTTGTGAATTTTACCCACTTCTTACTCTCATTATTCAATTTCACCCAAAATAACAATCAATTACACGTATAAAAGAGAAAGGACAAAACACATGCTATGAAGATTAATAAAAACCGTTTTTTGTCGCCTCGAAACCTGTGGAAATGATATAATTCATTAGCTTTTTTCGTGGAAGAATTTTCCGTGTTATCGATAAGTTTTTCGATGACATGTACACAATTTTAGATTCCTCATGTCTCCAAAACGCATGAAAAGCATCCCGCTAATTGGTAATTTTCCCCTCAATTGCTCTTTTATGGGGTCCTTAAAATTTACCATTAAAAATAGTGCATTCTCTTCGGAAAATACACTGACAGGTCCTCATTTATCTGAAAGTTTTCTATTGGCTAATCAAAACTAATTATGAAAATTTAGGAAGCATCCTATGATACAGCGTTTTAATTTTTTGAAAAATGAAAATAGTTGATATACTTTCATTAATTTTTTCCTCGAGTTTTACAAAACTAAACTATAATACTTGGGGAATTTTTGAAATTTTTGAAATTTGCATTAATGAATAAACATGTGCGTGGAGATTGTTACCTTGTCGTGCTTTTACTAAAGAAACTGAATCGGGAAAGAGATGTATTGAGGTGTGATAAATTTTTTGGCGGGAAAGACCATCTACAGTAAATGTCCTTTGGAACGCAGCCTTTTTTATTTTATTTATTTATTTGATTTACTTTATTCATTAATTAAAAAAATAGATAGAACGTGAAATTTACGTTTCAACCTCAATAATTGTTTACTCGGTTTACCACAGCCTCGCATGTTTTTTTTCGACCGAAGTGTAGGAGTGCCCATGACTAAATTGTTTCATTTTTTGGGTCACAATTTATATGATTCAAATGAAGATTAAAGAGAAAATGTATTCTTTTTGACTATTGGTTTATTACGTGACTGATGGAAAGTTTTAATACATAAATGAAATTGAAAATAAAATACAGAAAAATAGAAAGAGAGGATCAATCAGATACTCGAATTGGCATGAATAAATTTGAAAAATAATTTGAATAGAAAGAGTTATCTCTGTGCTATGATCAAAATCTAAGAGGACTAGAAACCGAACGAACCAGCAGGAATTTTATGTAACCATTCGAAAAAAGAAAAAAAGACCGATAATGAGGGAATTGGGAGAATCTGAATACGAACTAAATGTGAATCATTTGGTTGAAGTTTGTTTGCTTGTAACACTTGTCTCTACAAATGTGCGTGACTTAAACAGATTGAACAATCGTCTACCTTTATTTCAACTTGTAAGTCATAGATCAAAAATTTCGTAAAACGTTGTTTGCATAACGATTTCGGGTTACGCTTTATTCCAATTCATAAAATAGTGTCCTTCGCTTCGATAACGACGGAAAAACAGATTTATCAGTCCTCGTTTAATTTTCCCTTCTTTTTTTTGGTTCAAAAATTGAGTATGTTAAGTGTGCATCTCACCTGTGAAGAAATTAAGCGACAAATAGTCGATTTAAAACCGTGTGCACTATAGTATTTAATAGAGAGAATGGGCATTCTGACAGAATTCTGGAAGAAATATTACAATCAGTTTTGGGCTTTAAAATTTTTATGTCTATTCAAGTATTCTATGCCGTTTTGTAAGATCGAGAAAAATGGCTTCATGAAAGTTTTTTAGGCATGAGTTAATTCTTTGACTCGCCTCACTTTGAATTCGAGAACACTGTAGCGAGTAGCTTCATAACAATGCTGATTACATGAGCGAGGAAATAGTCTTGGATAACTTTTGCGACACGTCATTTAAAAGCTTAGAAACATGAAAATTCAACCACGTAAGAAAGCATCTGATTATGAGGCATTTAAATGACGATTGTGTGTGTGTGGAAGTTCAAACGTGCCATTACCAACAAGTTGACTCTCACCATTACTGAAGAAGTCGCCTCATTTCTTGCCGATGATTAGACTTAATCCTTTTAACGGATCTCTTCAAGTTAAACTTCAACCACTCGGGCGAAGCTTCGTCTTCGGTGGCACGTTTGACAAAATTGACTTAATCGAAACTTTCTTGGCCGTAATATTTATATCAGATTTAAACTTCCCAGGGATGTTCATTCACTGTGGACTTGAAATTACGCTACGGCCACATTGTCTTGGTTTCATGAACACACTTAATAAAGTTGCATGGATGAGATGAATATTTGAGGCGTTTTAAAACATTTGACATTCAAGAGCTGTTTTTTGGCAGCGTACAAGCAGCCACTCAACGCTCCCGTTATTTTCCTAGAGTTTTGCTCTGATTTGCATCAAAAAGTGCGACGTACTTTGCATTCAGAATATGACAAATAAGAGACATACACAACGGAGAGAATTTTAAGGCGTGATCACATTAAACGTTACTTTGAGGCAGTTGTAATTTTCAAACTTCTTGAACTGCATTAGCATTGTGTGGAAACAGCTGTGAAATTCGAAGGACGCGTTTTTCCCTTTCATTTTTACTGCAGAACATTTTGACATGAAATTTTCTGGATCCAGTGTGAGAGACGGTTCAGTGCATAATAATGTCGCTGAAATTAAGTTAAGAAACACTACAAAAAAACATATCTTTTCAGTGCTTTATCACCCGAGACAGCCTAGAATAGTGATGGGAGCAGAGGGCAATTTTGCCGTGTCAACCGGGGAATCAAACGTGATTCCGAAAGAAATCTTCGGATTTTGACTTTGCCGATGATGACGTTTTGTGAATCCAACATTTACAACACCTCTGCACCCTTGACATGTGTTTCGGTCAACCCATGCCTTTATAAATCGATATCACATTATAGATGAGACTTCTGTACAAAATCGTTATTTTCCCCCGATTTGAAACAGAACGAATTCAGTTTGGATTTTGTCAAATCCTATTTTTGTGACACATCAGCGCCGAGCCGGTTTAATTTTTGGAAGAGGAATGTGAATACGAATAGAAGTTGTATCTTAAATACGCCTAGTTAAGCGGTAATCATTTCATTTTAATTTATTCAGAATAGTTGATGATTTAACCTCTGTGCGGTATTCATGGCTCAAACGTGAGAGTAAAATGGGATATGGACCGATTTCCAAAGAGATTTTGCCTAAAAGGTAACGAGAGAAAACGATTTTCTGCTATTAAATTATGAAAAAAAATATCTTAATGGATTTTTCACTATGAAAAAGTCGTTTCCTCGAAAAGAGGTTACTCCATTTCAATGTTGCAAAATTTATATTCCCAAATCTCATTTTTACCAGGAAACCGTTAATCATTCCTCTCTAAAAATAACACCGATCTGTCTTTTGAAAGCGTAAAAATTCAGCAAAATTTTGGACAGAACGTACAGGATCATAATCCTAAAGAAAAATAAATTGTTTGTGTCAATTATATTCAAAGACGAAATGCATATTATTAGTCCAAATAAAAACTATCTTTAAAGGAGGTAGATAACAATTAGAATCACTGACGAAATGCGACTTATGATGATAATAATAATAATGAGTCCTTATAAAAGTGACTCAAACAGTCTTGTCATTAGAGACTGAAGGGTTGAAGATCTAAGAGGCTTTGCGTCTTTCGTCATCTCTTTCCTGTAATTATAAAAACTACTTATTCATTTTGGTTTCAAAAAGTAGGAATTTTCTAAATTCGGAAAGTCCCACAGCTTTAAAAAAAAGACCTTAACGAAGTCGAGAGAGCTTTGTTCCTTACTGTGAACTTGGAACAAGCCACAATCTTCTTTTAAAACAATAACTCCACCGAGAAAAGTTATTTCAAAGAAGAGTGAAATGAGAAAGGTGAGGTTTATTTGGTGAACGGTATTTTATATAATAAAGATAGCAGAAAATTTGAGTCCGCCTGTATTTCTCATTTTTTTTCTTCAAGATCGCTGATTAATTTATGCTTTCGTCGCGCCCAGAATCTACCTAGCTCCTTTTAAACAAAATCGCCAAACTATCCAGTGGCAATTTTCCAAGTTAGCAACACTGTTTTCCCTCCGTTTAAATCCATGAAAAATATCGATTTTAGGCGAAGCAAGCTGCCTTATCAAGAATCGATTGTTTTACATACATTTAAAGGAGAGAAAACAGTGATGACAACTGTCAAGAATCGCCACTGTTTCTATCCTGTTTATGAGAGATTATTATGTGTTTTAAATGAAGAGTCGTATATTCTGAAAATATGTGGAACAGTGATCGGAAATTCGGAAAACATTTTAGACAAATTTAGAACCAAACCTCCGTCCAAGGAATTGGGCCAATAAAAAGCAAACAGAGCAAGTGCGAGAGAAAAAGGGGGAAAGCTCCTGTGCGTGAGTAAATTAGATCATTCTACGTGCAGTTAATTAAGAATTTCGTGTGAGAACAGTTCCCACCACATCCTCACTGGTCAGCACCAAGTCGAGGGAATGCAAAATTCACCTTTCCCTCTCATTGTCTTCCCTATCTCACCCCACTCACACCCCCTCGCTGCGTCCCAGCAGGGCTAGGTCCGTTCTATCATCCACCCTCGCGGACCTGGACCCTTACCGTCAGATCCCATAATTACAATTATAATGGAAAAAAATTAAGACAACTGCAGTACCAACACAGCCGAACGTAGGAAGCGAGCAAAGGGGAGAGCGG